ACTGGGGCTAATAGTTTGTATATTAAACGGCTCGACTGCAATGTCTGTGGTTTATCTTGAGTAACCAGGTCATGATTTCTGGTAAGAGACATTGCTGTGAATTTTTCAGATGTATTTTTTTGACACTTTAATTACCACAGAAAGAATGTCATTCGCTCCCATTATATTCGAGAGAAGCCCGACATTTCTACAGCCAATAACCTCCAATACTAGGCAACTCTCAGCAGAACAGTTTTTGAGTGAACTGCCCCTTTAAAATCAGTACTAAAAGTTAAGGGGAGCCAGTGCCGTCATTTTAAAAAGAATAATGAGTTGATTTTTCTTGGTATTTGCTAAAATTCTAGCAGCAGCATTTTGAAAGACTGGCAGCTGTCTAATGGCCTACTTGGAAGGGTGGTCAGAAGAGCATTGCAGTAATGCATCATACGGTAAAGAATGGCATGAACACACTTCTCTAAGAGTTTCCTGGACACAAAGCCTCTGAATTTAGCTATATTATTCAGATGATTATCTTTAAATTTAAGGTGTGCCTAAATATAGGCTCCATGTCTCTTTCCTTAATTAAGAACAGTTACAAGCGGAATAAGGTACCAAACCTGCATTTACAGTTAAGAGTAGTTAAGTTTTTTTGTAATTTGACATAGAATTGCAGTTGCCAGGCTCTCACACAGGAGGTTACATTGTGTACCTAGTGAGCTACGCTAACAGGCTGATTCGGAGGTCCATTCGCTGGAAGATGGCCAGACCATCTGCAGATTAAAGGGTGAAGCGGAACGCGGGGATGATAGGACAGGGAGGACTTAAAGAAAATGTGGCCATGGACATCCACATAGATTCACGAGTACTTTGGATCAGTTATTTTGTCTGGGTTGGTTGCACTACCTGTCTTGTGCAGATGCTCTAAGTTAATTTAGCACGCATGATGGGTAGCTATTGACCCATTTCTGTTAAGATACTGAAAACCAGGAAGAGCCGGCTGAGCAGGTAGTGCAGGCCCATCTTGATCTCAAAGGAGAAAAGAGCATTTTAGATGTAGTCCTTTTCCTTATTAGAAAAGGAAGCAGGATAGTTATGGGTGAGCAGGTTTCAGGGTTTCTCCCTGAGATACTAACCATCTAAATTGGCTGGTAGAGGCATGCCCAAGGAGGAAGCATCAGTGACTGGCAGGGTTGTTTCTCCAGAAATGAGAACTTCTATTCTTCTTGTCTTTGTTTTTATTGTCAGGAATGTTATGAGTAGCTCTCCAAGTATTAATGACCACAAGGAAGAGTCTGTAACCTAGATATGGTACATGCCTTCGGTGTCTGGCTGCGGTTATTCGTCTGGGTGTTGAGCTTGTCATGTTAAGTCTGACTGTACAGGGGACCCCCCCCCCCTATTGCAAGTACATGTGTAGCATGAGAAGCTGATGCCTATATGTACTGTCACCCCGGGGGGGGACATACTGAATATGGGAATGGCTCGTCCTTGGGACCTAAATGATCAGCCCAGTATAGAGTTTCATTCGAAATCCAGCTTGCTTACAGTGTGGTTTTATCAGTTTCTGTCTTAAATATATATTTCTGCTTAGTTTTTATATATTTTAGTTTCTGTTTTGATGACCTTATTTCTCTAAGGATGGAGTGAGAGTTGTGGAGCTATTTTATGCAAGGGCGTAGGTTTGGTTTTAGCATTGTTACAGGCCAAATCAGCCCCAAACCCAAAATGGAACAGCTAAACATATTAAATTTTCCCAATTGATCTGCTGAACTTGCCGCATAATCGGTAAACAACCGCCAACCACCCCCCCGATTACTAATGTTGCACTGTTTTTAGTTATCTCATATTTTCTGTATGTCCCCCACCCCCATATGCTGGTGAGTTTTTTTTTTTTTTTTGGGGGGGGGGGTGACAGTCAAGGTTACTGGAGGTTACACTGAACACTGAGTGGGCTCTGCTAATAGGCTAATTGGGGGGGGGGGCAGGAGATGGTTAGATGTGATTGGCTGTGAGGATAAAGTGGGGAACTGGTGGGGGCTATGGAGTGTAAGAGCTCTGGGCATTAAGTAAGTCAGTAAGTAAGTAAAATTTATTTATAAAGCACCTTTCGCAGACAGAGGTCACAAGACTTACACTAATTAAACTTACACTAATTAAATGCAAAAATTTCTGAAAGTTCCATAGTCTTGGAGCCACAGACCGGAATGCATGGTAAATGTTCAGACCACAGACTGTGTTTTCAGATTATTGTCTTAAATTGATTAGTTTAGTCTGTTTTGGGGCTTTATTTTTAGCCCTTACCTGTTGCTCTGCTGATGCAAGTAGAGGAGCCAGCTGAACAGGTACCAGAGTCCCGGGCGGGCTGGTGCTTAAGGAAGCTAGCGCGGCTGGGCCCTTCCCAGCTCTAAAAAGAAGAAGCACTGCTATGGCAGGTGTGGTTCTGGGTATATCTGCTCATGAAAGACACTTTTCACCAGACTGAGATGGAGGAATCGTGATCAACGAGGAAGTGGCAGCAGGTCCAAGCAAAGGGCACGTGTTTTATCGGAAATGGCAGTCTTGGACCAAGTTCATATTTTGTTTGGGAAGAACTCACTAGTGTCACCTAGTGTCAGGAATGCTGTAACTAATTCTGGCCAAAGGGAGGGGGGCTACTTGTGGTTGGTGTGGGCCTTCTGGAGGGTACCTTCTGTGTGGTGGGGGTTATTAGTCCTTATTGCAAATCTATATGTGCAAGCACCCCCCCCCCTCCCCCCCAGATACATTGAAGCAGTGAGTAGAAATTGCATCATTTGGCATGGACCTGTTGCTGATGAGTGTTTACAGTTGTCCCTCAGATAAGGTCTGTTTTACAGTGCCACTCGTGTCCTGTGGATTGCCAGTCACGTGTTATAGTTTGTTACATATTTACTCATCGCCGTAAGGTGTTCAGGGCTGTGACAATTCAGTGTGCTCTCTTGCAAAAGACTGGAATCTCACTTAAGGTGTGTCACACTCTGGATAGGCTTCGGATGCTCTCAGCTCCAACTGGATGAGCAGACACTGAAAACTGATGGATTTCATGTAGTCATCTTATTGACCATTAGCATTTTCCATAAAGGACTGTATTGTCTCACTGAAAACAAGTTTAATATCTAATATATTTGGTATACATCAATGACCAATTAAGGCAAATTTTCTTTTGCTAGTTTTGTATTTTTGCCAAATATTAGATATTGGAAAATGGTATTATATATGGCTTTTACTTTAGTTTAGACATCTAAATGGTTAATGAAGAGTAAAGATGACTACCGTATAATTTATTTGTCAGAAATATCTTCAGTTTCCTTGAGCTGGCACTGCGCTGGTCAGTCCGTTAGGTAGACTGTGGCAGCCAAGAGTTGCTATTTACTGAGGGGTCCAGACCTTCAAATCAGCCGGTATCTCGCCCACCCACTCCTCTTGGAAAGGAGCAAGCAGCTCGGGGTATCGCCTGGGAATTGTGAAACTGGGAATTAGAGGTAACATGTAAACACCCCGATATATAATTTGGCTTCAAAAAAATACTTCACATTTATAGTAAGTTCTCCTCCCCCCAACGACAAATTAGGACACGCAAACAGCAAAGAATTCTGATGTAATCCTATTTGTCCAAATGTTTAATTAAGTATCAGGTTTCATTAATTACAGTCAATTGTTCTTAATGAGTGTTACTTATATTGTTTTGATTCTTTTTTTTGGGGGGGTGGAGTTTTAATTATTTCTATGAAAAGCCTCATTAACCACCTGCTGTCATTCATATCACAAATTATTGCCGGTCAGACTTATTTCGGTAAATTCCCGCCCAGTTACTCTGATGCCTTTAAGGTATTGTAAAAATGAAACCGCAGTTGTGTTTTACAGTGACGTGTATTTGTTTTTCTGTCAAAACAAATTCGGTGATTCATTACATAAACTGACACTTTTTACGAATAAACAACATGTCGACACATAAAAAAATGTAAAATCCAGTCTGCTTCAGTCAGGATTAGCTTTTGGAGGTAAACTAATAATACATATCTTTATTTTATTTCATGACAAAAGAAAAAAGATCTTTAGCCGATATTCAACCTTTATCAATATTCCCAAGAATTAAATTTGGCACGCGTGTACAGTTAAATAGCATGCAACTTATCCCAATCATATTTGGTTCTGCTATAAACGTGGCACTTGAAAAATGCGGCTATAGATCAAAATCTGCGCTACATAAAAACAAAAAAAATCCGTGTTGTTTATTTGGAACGTAACGAAAACGTTAAGGATGGCATGATAGGCCTGTCCTTACCTGTTCTTAGGAAGTCTTCAGAAGTCAACAATACACTTTTAAATACTGAATACTTAATAAAAAGGGACATAGGAAAAACACTTCAAAGTAAAAACACGCGCTCTTTGACTCTTATATGAAATAAAAATTTACCAATGAATATCCCATTGAACCCCCCCCCACCCCCCACCCCCCCACCCACCCACTGTGGCTGGTATGAAACACCTGTTCATATTGGCACTCGCTTTTTTCTTTTTCTTTTTTTCCCCCCAATATTTTTTCTTGCCCTTTTAAAAGATACATTTTTGGGATTATTAGCGGGTGGAGCTAGATTGCGATCTCATCCAGTGGATGCCACTCCCGCTTACGGTAAATAGCCTACCTCTAAGTTACCGGACCTACGAAATATTTTTCCTTGTTTCATTATCGTCTTTCCCCCCCCACCCCCAAGCACCATTTGAATACTATATAAGATCTACATCTATAGTTATTGTTTCACATGTGCAGACATCTTTGCAACGCGTCTGATCAGATACTTGTAGGAAGGCTGAGGTAACTTCTAGTGCAGCAAGTGCATCTATATTCTTCGCGCAGTACCGTTATGTACGTAATATCAATATTGAATATATGTGTTTTAGCAACTACGCTCCTTCTTTTAGTCTGTTTTGCTTATTAAATTATTAATATATTTAAATAGCCTTAGTTATAAAATATTTTTGTTAACTTTTTTCCTTTTAAGCAATTCGTTGACAAAATGAAAGTACTTCAAGAAGAGAACGTGAAAAATACACGCCAAGCGCAGGTGATCAAGGTACTGAATTTTAAATAATTTTTTTAAAATTTTTATTTATACGTGTGTCAGCGTATTTGTGTTCTTAATCTATACCCGCTGCCCTTCCCGGGACAGAGAGCGGCCCCCGGCAGGTGCCCGTTCTTACACGTCCGCAACCTGATCGACGGTTCAGACTGTCAGGACACTTTGCATCATAAAGCTGTCAAGGTATGAAACCTATAATGACAATTATTTTCATTTCAGCCCACAACACGATGTTGGCAAATATCAAATGTCATAGTAATATTTATCTAGTTTATAAAAGCCATGGGTTGCTTTTTGTTTATTAGTTAAAATAACTGTGATGTCTGTTTAACGCATGCGGTCTTAGGGGTTAATGTGTATTATAACTTTGAGCCTTTTTAATTTCGAATACTCCGTATTGAATACTTGTTGAATGATTTTTCTATCTATCTATCTAGTCTGTCTGTCTATGCTATTTCTGTAAATATTATAGATTTCAGAGCAAAGTGAGTGTTTTAAATCTTTGTTAACGTTAATTATCCATGTATCAGTACATTATGAGTTCATTATTAATTTACTGACTACAGCTGCATTAGTCAAGGGTCTCAAGTGAGCCTGATTAAGATGAGGGAATATTACATAAGAAAATAAGGACTTTTGCCGTTCTTAGGGGACATCTCCAAAATGCAGCTGCTTAGCTAACAGTAATCTTTGTCATTTTCAACCTCTTCAACCTATTTGGAATTTCCCCATCTTTATCTGACAGGCAGATGTCTGAGTATTTATATTAATATATGTTCTTATATATTTAATATTTTAATATATTTCTAAATTTGTATTGAATATGGAAATTCCCTTGTGACAAAAAAACTGAAGAAAGCATTGAGCTATAATATTGTAACCAAAACATATGTACTTTACCTTCCCCTAGAATCAGCTGTGTACATCAAAAGTATGTGAGAATTCCAAAATGACACCCAAGTCCCTGGTGGTGGGGCCGCAGAAATGCCCCGTGTCCCAAAACGACATCCTAGTGCAAGCCATTGACTTCATCAACCAGTACTACCACTCTCAGAAAATGTGAGCTGGCCGACAGAGATATTATTAAAGAAATGATTTCAAATGCGTTCTTCATATCAAACGCTTTCACGTAAATTCTAAATAATGTACTCTGCTCCAAAAGCAATGCCACGACTGAGATATTATAAGATAATACTAAATTAAATTAATATTAAAGTTGAGCCAGTACTACTCTTGTATGAAATGGAATTTGAGTGACTTATTCCTTCATATTGATTTGTAGTGCCAAACCTGAAGACCATCTTGCTCGTGTGGAAGCTGTTGTCAAGGAGATAGATGCCACAGGAACCTATCAGCTGACCATGGAAGAGCTGGTGTTCGGGGCCAAACAAGCATGGCGAAACGCCCCGAGATGCATTGGCAGGATCCAGTGGTCGAACTTGCAGGTGAGTAGCGAAAGCTGTCCGGACCACGTCTTAATTTCATCCCAACCCATATGAGTAGTATAGAAGATAGCAGGATCGTTCCTTAATTGCCTAAATGTGCTTCTCAACTGGTACACAGGTGTTTGATGCGCGAAAGTGTAGCACAGCCCGAGAAATGTTCGACTTCCTGTGCAGGCACATAGAATTCGCCACGAACGGAGGGAACTTGAGGTAGGTGACGTCTTCCAGAATCTCCAGTGCTGGTATTTGGCTCTAGGTTATTATTTAAATCTTAAGAGATGGACCAGAGTTCTGCCTTTTGGTAAAACGGTCATTGTCGCGTTCCCCAACAGGTCTACAATTACGATTTTCCCCCAGAGAGGGGATACAAAGCATGACTTCAGAGTGTGGAACAGTCAGCTGGTGCGGTATGCTGGGTACCACATGTCGGACGGGAGTATTCTAGGCGATCCAGCCAACACTGAGTTTACAGAGGTAGCTGCCAGAGACGTGTGATGTTTATAACCGCTCTTGCTCCTGTTTTATGTCTCATGCTATTTAGAACCTCACTGTAATGCCATCTCCTTCCTCCTCCTTAGCTTTGCATCCAGCTGGGGTGGACACCAAAATATGGCCGCTTTGATGTGCTGCCTCTGGTCCTGCAAGCTAACGGTGAAGATCCTGAGGTCTTTGAAATTCCTCCAGAGCTCGTCCTGGAAGTCTCAATGGAGCATCCTCAGTGAGTCTCAATTACTCCTTCCATGAAAATAAATCAGCTGCACTGTAGAAATACTGAGAGTTCAGTATCAGGAGTTCATTAGTTACTCATTTGGTTCTCGGCCAATTTATTGAACATGTAGTACTTGATGTAAAATAGAAGCATATCGCGGAAATAGACACATGGTCATTTTAAGAAATCGAAGCTGTTAGAATATTGACGTTCTAAAATGGTTACAAATTCGTAGGTCTTGAGAGCCAGAGTGTATCTGATTTTCATTATACCTCATCCCGTATTTGCCTAATTAAATCAATTGTTTTTTTAATGACTGAATCAGACCAGTCTCCTTTCTCTGGAGAGCAAAAAATTTAAAGAGACCTTTCAAACCAACTGGCCACTGCAATTTGGGGGCCAGTGCTAATCTGGAGAGCCCTACACCCAACAGAATGCATTGTTGGGGTACATTCTTTCACCCGATATTAAACAATTGAAACTCAAAGCCTAATTATCTAGGAAGCTGATTTCTCTGCCTCTTTAAATACCAGCCACTTAAAACCAGTTCATTAATCTCTATGAGCAGAGCCAGAGGTTAAATCAAGCATTTTAAGTGCACTAGTGGAATGGTGGCCTGTTTCTGTAGGATTAACGTCCCAAGCGATTTCCCACATCACTAATTACACACCTCAGAACCATCCATAATTTTCTGAAATTGTCTTCTCTTATTGTCCTGAGGATCGATTATTATTATAGTCAATTTTTACTATTACAAAAATGACAGGATAAGCTTATGTTTTGGCAGTGCCAGGAAGTAAACAGCTACTCAGTTGACTTCAAATGCATCAAATAACAGAAAAGTTTGAACAATATTTAATCATTATGAGGCATTAATTAATATATTTACTGCTATAGTATACTATACTATACTGCATATGTACTACTAATATATTTTACCGTACTATACTTACTACTACTACATATTACTATGCTATGCTATTGTGTACTATATTTTATTACATAAAGTCATTGAGTATCTAAACTGTTTAACTATGTATAAAAGTGCAGCTCTTTTAGGTTATTTGCAAAAATGGACATATTCCCTTGTTTGGATGGTGGCTGTCTGACTGATGACCCCCCACCTTGCCCAGGTATGAGTGGTTTGGGGACCTGCAGCTGAGGTGGTACGCTCTCCCCGCCGTCTCCAACATGTTATTGGAGGTGGGGGGCCTGGAGTTTCCTGCCTGTCCCTTCAATGGCTGGTACATGGGCACGGAGATCGGGGCGCGGGACTTCTGTGACCCCCAGCGCTACGACATGCTGGAGGTGAGGATGGTCACTCCTCCTGTTTTATAGAGGAATTTGAGAAAGTGACTTAAACTTACATTACAAGGTGTCAGTCAAACACAGAGCTGATCTTTCAGTGATTCTAGGTCCACGTAAAAGGTTTTTAATATTATTGAATATCTTCTATCAGAGTAATATTGTGGCACGGATGTGCAGTGGTTAGCACTGTTACCTCACACTTCCAGGACCAGGGTTCGAGTCTCCGGCACGGCTCCGTGTGTGTGGTGTTTGCATGTTCTCCCCGTGTTGTCGTGGGGTTTCCTCCCAGAATCCAAAACCATCAGGGCTGTGCAGACTATTTGAAGGGCCCAAAGATAAAAAAAAGTACCTTTAAGGCTCGTGCACAAGTTCACATTAAATAGTTTGGGCAGAACGGGCAGGTGCTCAGGCCCCCCCCCAACCACCTGAAAGCACAATGACGACAAAAGCATTTCAAAAATCAAAATGGACTACAAGACTGACTGAAATAAAATAAAAATGCGTAGTTCGATTTTAAACTTCTGTTTTTGCGTTCAGTTTTGTGCCTGTTTTAGCCTGCCAGATGTCCCTCCTCTAAATAATTGATAGTAAGTGTGGTCTGTGATAAGCATCTCAAATTGACAAAATTACATATGCCCTCACGAGACCATGTTTTCCATTAAGAGATTAGATTAAATTTTGGCATGCAGTGAGTCAGTCATAAATGTGAAAGCTCACTGTGGAACCATTTTGAGTGTGACACAAGTTCTAATTGTTTGTTTGTGTTAAGAGAAAGGAATTAACTAAGTAAAAGACAGGCCTTAATTGCTGCCACAAACATGTTTATAAACAAGTTAAGGACTACAACACCATGAAAAGAAACGGGACCAAAATACGAGGTGACATTGAAATAGGCGGTATTACACAAGCCGGAATTTCTTGCTTAGCCGGATAACTTGTCAGCATTAAGGTAGTCTGAGCTACATTTAAGTGGACAAAGATGTAGTCCATTTAGCACAGACTACCTTAAATCCAACAAGCTGGCTATACAAGAAATCCTGCTTCCCTTAGGGCTGTCAAATGGTTATTTTTTTTAATCATGTTTAAACATAATTATAGTCACAGTATATTCAGTATAGGAATGCATTTATCTTTTTCAAACAAAATAAACAAAGCAACAATGTTTCGTAGCCTTTCCCCTCAGTCAGCATCCCTGTGAATCTGGCATTTTGTGTAACATCATGACCAAGCTGAAATAAAAATGGCGGAAACTCATAAAATTGAAATTAAAATGAAAAAGAAACAAAAATGAAAAAGTGTTAAGATTAAAACTAGTTTTTAAAACTGAAATTAAAATGACCGTGATCACACTCCCTTGTGTCAACACATTTAAATTATTTTTCACTCTTTATGTCTCTGCTTCGCTCTCAAAGACTGTTGGCAGCAAGATGGGCCTGGAGACAGACAACCCCTCCTCGCTCTGGAAGGACGTGGCCTTAGTAGCCGTCAATATCGCTGTCATGCACAGCTTCCAGGTATGGCCACCTGGGGGGGGGGCGGGGGCTGGCTACTCTCGTTATTACCTGTTTCACAACATCAAATATGCGGAAACTCAAATTTCCAGAAGCAAACTTGACTAAATGAAATGTATGAGGAAATATTTCTGGTATTTGTCCCCGATAACTGGAAGTCCCGGATATCACCAGGAACAAAGTGGGGGCATTGGATACCCTGGCAGATTCAGGGGGCCCAGCAATTTGAATACGTGAAAGGGGGGGGGGGCAAGGTGACATTCTTTCATGGGACCCAGAATTTATAGCTACAGCCCTGGGTGTTGATATGTTTCAGATTATTCTTTTAATCATGCTGGGACAAATAAAGTAAGAGTCAGCACACGGAAGCTCAGTGTTTCATGTGTAAGATTAGTTACTGGCCGTGGCTTCCAGGGAGTGTAATGACCAATGCCTGGTTTTCACGTGGGGGGGGTACAGAAGCATAATGTGACCATCACGGACCATCACTCCGCCAGTGAGTCCTTCATAAGACACATGGAGACTGAGTTCCAGCTGCGGGGGGGCTGCCCGGCTGACTGGACCTGGCTGGTTCCACCCATGTCCGGCTCCATCACACCTGTCTTCCACCAGGAGATGGTCAACTACGTCCTGTCACCTTTCTTTTACTATCAGGTGCTGTGACCTCCTTGCCTCAACACGGTCATTAATTACAGTATTTTAATAATTAAACAGATTAGTTGCCTTCAGTTATCCATCATGAAGTGAGATTTGTCCGCTAGCTAGATAACTTGTCGCATTTAAGGTACCACAGTTTAAATGGATTTTTCGTTCATTGACATACATTTATCCCAGACCACCTTAAATCTGACGAGTTATCTTGTTAACCTAAAGTTCCAGCTTCATAATACAAGCCCCAATTCAATCGAAGAACACATAGACGTAGTAGCCCTAGCACTAAGTGTACCTAGCTATAATTAGGTAGGTCCCACATTTTTCTGTGTGCTATTTTCAATTGCAGCCACATGATTGGCTGTTTTGCATTAGCAAGCAGGTGTAGTTAATAAAGTGGCCAATGAGTGTGGAGTAGATTTATTGCTATATCCAGAATACTGAATATCAACCACACTTAGCCACGCCTGTCAAATTTGCATGTTTTACTGTTCATCTAAGTTGGCCATTATTTCTATCATTTCCTCATCTGCTTTTTTTCTTCTTTCATGCGTTTTTACAGCCAGATGCCTGGTTAACACACAACTGGAAAAATAACGTGTGGAGAAAAGGGAAACTCGTGTCTTTCAAAGGACTAGCCAGGTAAAACACTGAATGATCAGCTGGTACAATCCATAATGTCTGCTGCAGACATCGTCACTGCGGGCTGGACTGTCAAACTCATGAAACTGCATCTTTCTGCAGAATGGTACTCTTCTGCTCCACGGTGATGCGGCGCTTCATTGCTCAGAGGGTGCGGTGTACTGTAATTTACGCTACAGAGACAGGCAAATCACAGTCCTTCGCCAAAAAACTCAACTCGATGCTGAACAGTGCCTTCAATTCCAGGGTAAGAGACCCTCCTCCCTTGACTACTAGAGAGCCAATGGTCTTATAAACATGTGACATCTTAATCCTCCATGGTTGTACTCAAGTAATTATTTATACAAACAAAATGAGAAAAGAGAAAGATGTCTTTTAATGCATATTTTGGGTCCTAAATGCTATACTGGAAGTAGACCCCATCGTGTATGTGTAACTGGTTCTGGCCTCATGCAGGTGCTGTGCATGCATGAGTATAACATCACTGACCTGGAGAAAGAGTCCTTTCTGGTTGTGGTAACCAGCACCTTTGGCAATGGAGAATCCCCAGAGAATGGAAAGGTCTGTATTTATAATGACCTTTAAACAGCCTCTATGACTTTTTCTCATTGATTAATAGTCAATAAAGTTGACTTTCTCTGTCCTTCTTGTTCATGTCTTCATCTTACAGAGCTTCTGGAAGCATCTTTATGCCGTGCCGTGCCTTAGAAACAAATTCAGGTACATCCCTCATGGAAAGAACATTTTTAAATGAATTTGAGGAAGCACTTCTTTACACATTGTGTAGTTAGAGTATGGAATAGTCTTCCTGTTAGTGTAGCGCAAGCTAAAACCCTAGGTTAAATCAGAGCTAGACAAGATTTTAACAGCTCTGAGCTATTAGTTAAGTTCTCCCCAAACGAGCTTGATGGACCGAATGGCCTCCTCTCGTTTGTAAATTTCTTATGTTCTTAGATACTGCCCCTAAAGCTAAGGAGATGATTGGTTGGATGGAGGTGGGTAATGCTGGGTCTTCTCTTGCTGCATAGGTACTGTGTGTTTGGCCTGGGCTCCCGCATGTACCCACAGTTCTGCGCTTTCGCCCGGTCTGTGGACACCAAGCTTGCGGCTCTTGGGGCCAAGCGCTTGACATGCATGGGAGAGGGCGATGAGCTGAGCGGACAGGACAAAGCCTTCATCATCTGGGCCAAGAAAGCCTTCGCGGTAGGCCAACAGAACAGAATATTTTAATTTTTAGTCATGTTTGCTGTCATTTTGTATTTGTTAAAAAAAAGATCACTGGTTCATGTTTGTCTTTGCTGTCTCTCCATCCCCTGGTTGTTGTCGTTGATTTCTGGGCAAAAGGATGCCTGCCAGGAATTTGGAATCAGTACCCAGCTGGATATCCGGCTGCCAGGGATGGACCAGCACACTGATGACTGGGACCCAAGGAGATACCAGCTGCAGCACAAAAAATCCTCCCAAGACCACATCACCGGTAAGCCTCTTCCTGTCTGAGTCGACTGCAGATATTCCATCTCTTAAATGATAAATCCAAATGCCTTCTAGTCATGTTTTACAGGCTCTGCCAAGTTGTACATTCATGTTATAATGCATCTTCTCTGTCTTCATCTGCAGCCCTCTCAGCCATCCACTCCAAAAAAATTCTCCCCATGAAGCTGAAGAGAAGGCAGAACCTCCAGAGCTCTCAGTCAAGGTGCAGGACCCGTTACGTTCTCCTATCCTATCCTAGACCTGAGATGCATGTTTCTCATTGGCTGACTCTTAAACATGAGAGTCTTTTGATTCTCGTCATATTTGGTTTAATTGTCCCTTGCTCGAATCATGCTGGCAGGGAATAAATTATACTGGAATCGGTCCATGTCAAGAGATGTGCAGAGCTCTGATATTCAGTTAAATCAGTTAAATTCTAAGACATTATAAGATATATTAAAGAGGTTATGGTGTTCTTGAGATCCAGATTTTACTTAAAACCAGAGAAAAGTACGAATATATGGTCCTGTTTGGGTCATACAAAGACATGTGACTTACTATCGTATCGTTATGTTTTATTTGTGCACGTGGCTTTCACAATAGATGTTCTATTAATTTATGGGAATGAAGTATGTGTACATCAGTAAAGTATGTGAGCACAACAGGCCACATATCGCAGGAGACTGGCACTCCTGATGATGAAATCTGCAGTGCTTCAGGGTACGGTGTGGCATGCAGGAAGGTGCCAATCGTTACGACATTTTATGTTTCAGCCGTGCCACTATTCTGGTGGAGCTGGAGAGTGACGGCAGCGCAGAGGGCATGCAGTACCTGCCCGGTGACCACGTTGGGCTTTTCCCGGGGAACTCGACGCAGCTGGTCACTGGCATCCTTAAGCACGTTGCCGACGCGCCTCCCAGCAGCCAGAGTGTGCAACTTCAGTATCGATCGGGCACAAGTGCAAGTATGTTGCTCTAGGGACTGTGTGACCCTGCTTTCTGAAAAAAAAAATAAACAATGTATGTCCCTTTGGATAAAAGCATCTGCCAAATCAGACGAACTGTAACAAACATGAGTAACATAGCATTTGCAATTCAGATAAAGTTCACCATGGCATCCAAATAGGTCATGAAAAAGAATATACATCGCCTCAAGGATATACTTGCTTTCTCTGTGCCACAGATGGAGACGAAGGCTGGCAGGCCAACGACCATATCCCAGCATGCACTCTGTCCCAGGCACTGACCTACTTCCTGGACATTACCACGCCCCCTTCGCAGAATCTTCTTCACAAGCTGTCTCAGCTGGCAGGCCAAGAGGGTCATCGGCAGAGACTGTTAAAGCTATCTCAGGTAAGCACACCTGCAGCACTGCTCCTTCGCTTCCAGTCTAACTTACCCTCAGCTGCACCCCAGACAGTGTAATATGTCCTCCTACTCTCTTCTGTCCCTCCAAGGGTATTGAAAACAGCTGAGACCATAATTTAGTAGCCATAAATTTTTGCAGTTATTGCTATTGCTTAGTAGACTAAAAAGACTGGAATGGCTTTTAACTCTGCTGGACAATCTACTGAGGCAATTTAGGCTGAGTACCTCATTTAGGAGGTACAAGAGAAGGCTCACTTTTCAGTCGTAAGTCCAGGTACTCAAGCGCTATACTATTTTATGACCAAGTTTATCCTTTAGATGAATGTTTTAGATACCATTAAGCACTGTTACGCAGGAGTACAAAGGCAGGGATGTGAAGTTGAGAATGTCTTACTGGGTCTTGTAGGACGCTGAGGAGTACAATTCCTGGAAAGCATTTCACAAGCCTACCTTCTTGGAGGTTCTGGAGGAATTCTCTTCCTTAGAGCCCCCGGCGACTTTCCTGCTCAGCCAGCTGCCTCCTTTAAAGCCCCGCCTCTATTCCATAAGCTCCTCCCCTGAACTCAACCCCAGGGAGATCCATCTTACTGTGACTGTGGTCAACTATCATACGCAAGGTACGGAGTTTCTGCATGACTCACAAAGTGCTGGCTGTCAGGTGGCTGCTTCTGGGTGGTGACATCTGACCTTTACGTTCCAGATGGACAAGGTCCAATGCATCACGGTGTCTCCAGCACCTGGCTGAACACCATCAAGGAGGGAGACATGGTGCCTTGCTTTATCCGCAGGTATGAGACACCAGCATCTGTCACCTTCTGTGCCTGAGGTGCACCTGGTCTTTTAGCCCTGTAGAGACCTATCTAGCCATTTTTAAACCAACCCCAGGCCAGCTGCAAATGCTGTACCGTGTTGTTCATGTTGGGCCATTCAGAAGGTGCTTATTGAGTCTGTCTCTCACTTCCAGCTCCAGTGATTTTCACCTCCCAGTGGAGCCCAGCTCTCCAGCCATCCTAGTGGGGACGGGCAGTGGCATCGCCCCCTTCAGGGGCTTTTGGCAACAGCGGCTGTATGACACGCAAACTAAAGGTAACATGGGAAAAAGTTTCTGTGATTAACTTTCCCATGGCCTGTGGCACGCATCACTGTAACACCATTCATGAAAAAATAGTTGTGACTCTGAACACTAGGGCTGGGAATCAACCTGAGCTCATAATTTGTTCTGATTTTGATTCCCAAGCGCCCGATTCAATTCAAAATTAATTTTGCTACATTTTTTTAAAAAAAGAATAGCGCACTGTAGTTGCCAAATGCTGTCTATTACCATGTGAAACAAGTAACCAGACAAGGTTGTTGTTAAGTAAAATTGAAAATATATACAAGTCATGGGGAAAAGGCATAAATTAGCAAGATCGATCTCGGGATTTTGTGAATCGATAGTGAATTATCAAAACCAATACCAAGAGCAATTATAAAATCGATATATTTCCCCACCGCTACTGACCACTACAGTCTTGCCTGTATATTTACGCTATTTGGTCGTCTTGTCTTGTTGTGTCCAGGTGTGAGAGGTGCACCCATGACACTAGTGTTTGGTTGCCAAAGTTCAGACAAAGACCACATCTACAAAGAGGAAACCCAGCAGATGATGAAGAATGGGGTGCTCAATGACGTCTTTCCTGCATATTCTCGTGAATCTGGCCACCCTAAGGTGTGTTTTTATAACTTAATTATGTCATCTGAGTATGTAGAAGCGAAGATTCATACGTAATGCTTGTTTGCTTCTAATATGGACCATAACCTCATTGTTTGCTAAAAATGAAATCAATTATCAAAGACAGAGTCCATAAAGTTGAAAGTGTCAGTGTATATTAACACAACATATACTGAACTGTTGGGATGACCTTGTTTCCTTGTGGTCTCCATAATCAGATGTACGTTCAAGATGTCTTGAGGGAAAGGTTGGAACGGGAAGTGGTGAGGGTCCTGCACTGGGAACAGGGACATCTCTATATCTGTGGGAATGGAAGGATGGTCCAGGATGTAACCAACACAGTGCAGGACATCCTGGCAAAGCAGCTGGAATTGAATCCCTCCGCTGCTGTGGAATACATGACCCAGCTTAAGGTAGGCATTGTTTTTTGACAAGAACAAAGCATATATGTTGATATAGCAAAAGTGAGTAAATGGAACCACCATTTCTGGTTGTCATTGAAAATATGTATAGTCAAACTTTGAGATATTGTGCTTTTATTGATCATCAGGCACCTATGCCATGTAAAGTCATGATTTGTTACCATCATTCACCTCGCTGTCTTGTTTTTGACAGTTCGAGAAGAGGTTCCATGTAGATGACTTTGGGGCAACCATTCGGACATAACAGAAGTTAAATTGTGATCAGGCTTCGCAACGAGTCTAGAGAGCGGCGCAAACTTGGAGTCAAGGGATGGAGTCTCAGTGTTATGGTCTGAACTTCAAGTTAATGGCTCACTTTGTGGAAATACATTCCTCTGCCAGTCTTCTGTTTATACAACAGATAGCTGTTGCCAGCCAAAATGCCAAGTGGACGCTGTGTGAGGGAGGAACAAGCATAAGGGAACAGTTCCAGGCGTCACAGGCTGTGAAAATTATTTACAGTTCAATTTCAAGTGAGAAAAATATGTGCCGATTGTGCAGTGATTTTGTTCTCTTTGATTACATGGATGTAATTTCATCTTGGTCATTTAAAACCTGTTCCTGTTCCTTTTTTGTGCTTTTGTGCATTCACTATCTGATTATACAATCTCTGTTTATACAGTTTTATGTTTCTGTACATGAAAAATGGACACACTGCAATTTATTGCCCTTCATAGCTTGCTGATAATCTCACTGTGTTGTATCCTTAAATAGAACATTTTAAGCACTGTTTCTAGAATTTTTTAAAGGTTTTAGTAACAAAATAAACCAGTATATTACTTATTAGTGCATGATTAGGGCTCATTTAACAATAGTATCATACTATATGATTTATTGTAAAACTTGGTATGTGTCCAATTTGTAAATAATTTTAATGTTACCTACTGATGAAGTAAAAATAAACATTTAAAAGCTGAACGTGTTATATTGCATATTGTTAACTTAAAAATGTAATTTGCTTTTATGAGGAAAAAAAAATTGCAATTCAGTGTGGAAGCCGTACTACCTTATTCTGAAACCCAATAGCAGCTGTATTCTAGTACTCACTCTTACTACAAGTTCTATAATGGCCTAGTTATGCAGCTCTAAATGTGAGTATTAAAGTCCTTTTGAATGTTGAAGAACTACAAAGCATGGTGTGGATGGGGCCTGTCATTGGCCACTAAGTATCCATCCATCCATCCATTTCCTGTAGCTGTTTATTCTGTTCACGGTCACAGGGGGTCTGAAGTCTATTAGTTTACTAAGTAAACTTACTCATTAACACAAATAGCCAAACTGAGAGTTGCATGGCCATTACCATTATATATACCATTGATCTCCAACCATTATTTACAGTGAGGAATACACTGGGGGGGGTGCAACGGTGGTGTATAGAAAGACATCTCTGAACACGCAAGCAATTAAATCTAAAAGCAAGTTTAGAGGCAACTGGAAGTCCTACCCATTACTAGGCAGGGGTGCCTAATGAAGTGGCTAGAGTACAAGTCTGCACACACAAAGTTACATGTATGTAACAGTTTTATTCTCTTATAAATAGTCTGTAGGGTTTGCAAATTACCTCAACGGTTTTGACGTAGCTAATTTTAGGTTTATAGTGGAATAATATAAATTTGCCGTATGATGTTTTGCGTGAGCGTCTGGGAGTGTGAGTGTCACGCCTGATGCGTGAGAGTTGGCAGCCCTGTATAGGTATTTACTTAACCCACTGTATTTGTGATAGTCTAACCTAATCACGATTGCTCAGCTTATGATTGACCCCCACTCATAAGTATTGGGAACTTTACACTTTACACTAAGTAATTCTGTGGAAGGTTAACATAATTTTATAATCATTATTCATCCTAATAAAATGTACCCATAACATAAAATAGTTACTATCAACTTTTCGAATTTCCTATCACGTTCACGAAAAATGCATTTTAAGGGCAATCTTATTCTCATTATAGTATATAGTATATTTCATTGGTCAATTGACTTTGACTTTGCAGTTCCGTTTGACCCGGAAGTGACGCGAGCGGACGGCCATATTGCTTTCCGCCAGGCGCCGTAGCGAATGTTCGCCCACTTGACATTTGCAGTTTTGGAAAACAGATCATGACCTACTCAAGTGTATGAAGGAATCTCCTGTTATAGTGTAGCATAGTCAGAGGTTACAACCGGACAATGGCTGGAAGCCGACTTGAAAAGTTTGGCACCATATTCACGCGGTAGGTTTGAAAGCCAGTTGTACTTGTCTTGGATGCGTTGCGTTCGCCGTTTTGACTAAACACATGAGAAACGCACTTCAAGGTTAAAAGCGAGCTGCTCATCGACTTGGCATGCTTTTCCCAAATTGTGTTGCGTAAAGATGAATTATTCGGCCATTATTTGTTATAGATATGTGAAAAAATGTCATGGCTGTTTTTGGGTCAATTAACGATAATTTCTCTACAGGTTACAGTCTTGTATGGGTCACATAATACCCTTGAATGCATTGAATATTTTCGTCAGATATTGTATTAGCTGTACGTTGTTGTTAAACCTGACGTTATATTTCAGAAACCGCGCTCCAAGCTCCCTAATAAGCTAGCTTTAGCATTAAATTCTAGAGTCAGACGATCACTTTAACTTTCTGTCTCCCTGTGTAGGATGGGCGATTTAATTCGCGGTGGAGTTGTGAAAGCAAAGGATGTTCCTGTCTGGTATGATGTATACGCTGCTTTTCCACCGAAGAAGGATCCTCTGTACGTGAAGCCAATGGCTAAGAGATACGGGAAAGTGACAGTAACTGTGCCTGAAATATTCTACAAGGAGGATGAGGTTCGCGCGTAAGTTAGCTTTTGTTTTGTACAGATATGGGTATTTTTAAAATCCGCTATTTAAACTGTGCTATGTAAAATCTTAAATTGCGTGAAGTGTAGATATGGAAACTGTGTGTGAGGCACACGGCGAAAACGTGGGAACGATGTTAAGCAGTGTAAGGCCAGCAGGTGGTGCTGTGTGTCCGTGGTTGCTTTGACAAGTTCCATAACTTCCAAAGCCTGCTTGTACATATGGATTTTTCTTTTTCAGAAAATTTTATGCAGTTTACGGGACTGGACCGAGGGCTTTTGAGCTTAGTAAACCCAACTTTATCTCCACCTGCCAACGGTAGTTTTTTAATTGTATTTTGTTTAGTTCTGTTCCGAGATGCCTGTTCAGGTAGGGTAGTTTTTAAAGCAATATTTGGGTTGGACTGTAGGTTTGTGGAGAAGTACGGCGAGCTGGAGAAACAGGGCGAGGTGCCGGAAGAGGCGCTGTTCGAGGAGACGGGGAGGGCTCTCCTGGCAGAAGGAGTCATGCTCCGGAGACGAGGCGGACCCTCGGTCAGTGGAAAGGTGTTGTACGGTGGCGGGGCAACAGGGCTGTCCATAGCAATCATGGACATCTCTTTAATTGTCCTGTCCCTGATTTGGAGGGAATTGCACATCAATATAACAGTGGGCTTTTTATACTGTTAAATTAAGTGCTTACATAATATTTTTGAGCTATACTAGGATGCACTGTGCGGGGAAAAAATAATCTGTTCTGTGACTTGCCGTGATGATTCATACCAGACTTTCAAATTTTTCTGTCATTTGATTTTTTTTATCTCATAATTAATGCTCATACTTTTCACAAGTAGCTTATAGAAGGATGTTTACTTTGAGGTATTTATAGATTTACTTGTATCAGAGGGTTTAGCAAATTTTAAAAAACGATGGTCTTAAATATGCACGTCCAGCCTTTTTTTGACAGAGAAGCCCTTAATCTTCTTTGTTTCTATTTCTAACTGTGCTGTATAGTTTGTTTATTACCCTCTTATAGGTTTTTTTTATTGTAATGGGAAAAACTAATTTGGCCTGTTTCGACCTCGTTCTTGCTTGGGATAATGTAAGAGTGACATTGATACATCCCTATTCTGCTGAACAGTTTGGCAGTACATTTATCACAGTCTGAAGCCATGTGTCTGAACCCAAGATAAGGGGAAATTAGTTTTAATTGGTGCCAGGCAGTGATATCTTTGTGCCTGCAGGTGGCGCCAGAGAACCGGGACCCTGTTCTGGGAATGAGGCTAAAGGACATGCTATCAGAGCTGCAGACAGACACGGCTGGAAAGGCACAGGCAGAGGGGGAGCAGGTACAGGGGGAGAGCACAGGGACGCCTCACTGAGACATTTTGCCCAACGACTGGCACATGGCCCAATCAGATTCCATCCCCGTGCTGTCACTCCATGCGAGGCCAGACGGCAGTGGTGAAGCAGCAGTGTTTTTGGTAAGCTCTGCCTTCCTCTCATAGCAGGTCACTGCTATCTGAATGCACTTCTGGATCCACATGTAGTGTTTTTTTGTTCTGAAAATCCTTTCCACGCCAGACCGGACTGGACTCATAACTCAAAGCTCCCCCCCCCCCTCCCCTTCACCACCACCACATGCTTCATTGTTGCCCTGACGACGTCCTCACTGACCTTCAACTGCAGGTGGTTTGAATACGGGTCCATTCTTGGACGACGCTGAACCACGCAGGACCGACCAGCTGGTCTCACTGTCCCTTATCCCATGGACCTTGAGATGAAGAACAATTGTTTGCGGGGGGGGGGGGGGTTTCATAACCTGGAACACTTTTTGGCCTTTTTCAGAATGCACGTGTTGGGACTTTCTGATGCAGTGACTCAGTGTACTATTGATACACCAATGTTCCAGTGTACAGTTGTTACACCAAACAAACCTGTTTGCTGTTTGTCTTGTGGCCATTATTGGCTACAGTGACCTGATGGGAATGTCTGTAACTTGTGTGGTCATTAAACAGTTTCCACATGCTTGTCACCCCTTCCGAGTCTCTCCTCCTTCTCACACTGGCCCTGAAGTATATCGTGCAGCACTTATTGTACATCGCATAGCCTTTAATGAAGACTTTGAGCGATTCCAGTGAACAGTTTTATTATTATTATTCTTTTTTAAAGCAGCCCTTAGGCGGCGTCATCAGAATACGTCGTAACGGCCGCCGAGGGACCTTCCGCACGTGATAACTGTCAGCCGCTTATTCCCACTGCAGAGTGGCTTCACGGTGAATAGCCAGTGCGCTTTGAAATCGGCGGGTTCCGAAATTGGGTAGCGTTCGACCCACTGCTCTCCGCTTTGAGTCTGAAATGCCAGCATTCTGGTGGGCATACTTATATATATATATATATATATATAAAAAAAAGCTGCACTGCTTTGAGCCAGCGCACTCCTCAGCGGGTTTTGTGGCCGCAGACGGTGCCTTTATATTTCCTAGATAACTGGGTGTTTAAAGCTCAAAAGCTGAAGTTCTACTGAAGAGGGAGGAGCAGTCCTTTCACCGGGCCGCGTAGCCTAAATTTAGTGTATTTGCAATAAATTGATTTAATTTATTTCAAAGTAGCTTGGGATGAGTGACGTGTGTGTTTACCCTGAAGCTCATGCCCTCCATCTGCAGTCACATTCCGCTGATGCTCCCCGACAGCCTACATTCTCCTTCACACAGACCGCCCCCCCCCCCCAAAAAGCATAATCAGCTCGGTGTGGAGGGGGGGCAGGCTCCATATGGTATGCATGGCATAATTCATCACGTACTGCTAGTTTTTTTGGCTCCTGCAAATCATCAGCATATTGATGATTCTACCATGAGACCAAGTTGGCAGGATTAATGTTTTCTAACATACAACTATTATTTATTGCCATTAATTCTTAAATATGATTCCTCACGGTGGTGCCCGCGTTTGCGATGAATGTATACCAGTCCTTAATGTGTGTTTTTTGAATGCGTTCAGAAAGCACTGAAAACGTCCATTAGCGCTGTCACTTAAACGGCAACCGCGTGCATCTGGAGAGCGAAACCGGCAGCCCCTGCGATCCGGCCTTGCAGTTCGCGTGAGGAAGGACCTGTGCAGCAACTTCCTGAAGTTCTCGTCTAATTAGTGTTTCTAATGACATTGTTCCTTTTCACCTCTGCCTCAACCCAATGCTTAGGGATCACAGGGCAGTCCACCTTTTTGCTCCCTGGCAAACGGTCCACGTTTTTGCTCCCTCCCAGCACTCTACCAGGTATTTGCTGTTCTTTGATGTTCTTGATTGGCTTAGACCTAGGAGGGACCAAAACTGTGGACAGTCTAGGGCAGGGGTGGGCAGTCTTATCTGCAAAGGGCCGGTGCGTATGCAGGTTTTTGGGACAACCTGTAGGTCAGCTGTTCAAACCCAGGTGTGAGGACTCTTCAGCCAATCAGTCATCTTATTAGTAATCTAATTAGGGAGTTGCAGCGAAAACCCACATACACACCGGCCCTTTGTGGATAAGATTGCCCACCCCTGGTCTAGGGGGTCTCGGGAATGAATTGAAAAACTGCTTTTATTTACCAGGCTTACATGGTAACGTTAGTAGCTCTCAATTGCTAATAGGCTGTTCCTACAGCTTTTGCTCTCATGTCCGAGGACAGTCTAGCCTCCCGCCCAAAAGCGCGGGGGGAGGGGTTGCGTCAGACAGCGACTTTGTAGATTTCACAGCTGCAGTGGGTTCGCCTGATGGACTCCCCCGATTCAGTGGGGGGGTGCAGGGGGGGGGCGGCAGTGGCTTTCCTCTGCCATGTACCGCCCCCATGTTGCCGTGACAGCTATCCCAGCCGTGCATGACAGCGGATTGGATTTTCCATCGTCGCGGCGCCCTGAAAGGAGTGTCTGATAAGCGTCGGTCTTTAAAACCGTCCGTGGGCACGACCCTTGGCCATCAATCGCACGGACCGGACGGTGCAGAGAGATAAGCGCAGGCCCTGGACGCTGCCTGCTGCCGCGGACACCCATCGCAAAACATTCCCACCTCCGAAAATGTGAAAAGTCATAATTAATGGCCCCGCCCCTTTATTTTCACACATGTGCTTTGATACGGGAGGAATCCAGCAGGGAATCTTTGCAGAGACAGACTCATATTAGTCTCAAGATGGGGGGGGGGGTGCTGAGAAAGTGCCTCTCTGTCTCGATGATGGGCGGGGGGGGAGGGGGGTTGATCTGCGTGCCACACAGCTGCAGCTCAGTTCGACAGCAATTTTAAAAAGTTAATCAACCAGTAATAGCCAAGAAAGCACAAGGCCAGCTGAAAGAAATCTGTTGTGTGTGTGTGTGTTTTTTTTTCCTCCTCTCAAAGCTCTTTTCATCCTTCTATTTTTCTCCCCATCTCATGCCACAAAAGAGACACTGGAGACGGCTCCAACAGCCTCTTAAAGGCTGACCTTGTTGGTGTGTCTAATTATTAACCTTTGGGTTTACTTTTTTTTTGTGTGGGAAAAAAAACTGTCCATCTTGAAGATCCCCCCCCCCCCCCCCCTCCACCCTGGCCCTATTGCCAGAGAAATATCTCCCCGATAATGGAAGCGCTGATTGTCTGCGCACATTCGACTGGAAAGTAATCCTCTGCTGATAAGGGGGGGGGGGTGGGGGCAGGCAGGCGGCTACGGGGCTCAATAATAAACACGGTGGACGGAGGGGGCAGCGCCGTGGGCACCGGCAGCCTCTCCGGCGGAAACCATCTGGGCTAAATTGAGGCTGGGCCTGCGGACGTGGCGTACGCACCCTGCTGCTGCTCTGGCCGCCTCCCCCCCCCCCTTCGGTGAACTTTCAGGGCTTTCGGACTTATGTAACCGTGCAAGTGTGTGATCTGCATCGAAAGCGGATTGTCCTGGTTCACCCGTCACCCTGCTCATCCCCGTCCATAACGTCGAACGTTGGCGATGCGCCAAAGGCAGTGTCCGGCGTTGGGTTTGTTCAGTGGTTTCTCCGATAGGCCAAAATCGACTAAATGCACTAAAGATGTGTGAGTGCTGTGAGAGTCTCTGGGGGGAGGGGGGTGGTTCTGTTCAACAGGAAACCTCCTGTTTTTATCCCTTTTTCTGTTTGTCTCATTGTTCCCTTTTGAGAACATCATCTCAGGCAGGTAATTAAGTTTTCGGTTGGACTCCTGGTAAGTACTTGGCGCCATACTGTAAACGTCTCCGACCGAGCAAAGACTGGAGGAGTCTGAATGATCTAAGACGTGTTTTTTCCCTCATCACTCGGTTGGGGGGTAAAAGTTTATAGCGGCCTGGGAAAGTCACAGTGGAAGTGGTAGATGAATGAACCAAGTGAGTAACATGTTTTGGTGGAATGACGCCAACTCTACTGTTCTGGTTGAGGAGCTGATCCGGTCCAGTCGCATCTCACGTAAACACTGAACTTCCATGCTAAATTGTCTGCATTTGAAACATCCTGGTGGCTTTCAGACTGGCAGAGCCGTTGCCAACGACGTAGCTGATTAAACGGACCCCCCCCCCAACTTTCCCTCAGCTCAGCTGTCATTGTTTCCTTCCCTTCCAGTCGACATGAAGATATCTCATCTGTGCGGCGTTAAACCGTCTGAATGTCTGAAAGCGCCTTAATTGTTTTGCCTTTCTATTGTCCGTGATAAGGAGCCTCCTGTCAGTCACCCTGACGGACAGCTCTCAAATGTAACTGTATCGGAGCCCGCGAGGTTCATGGGGGGGGATGGGGGGGTGGGGGCTTTGAGTGACTTGTTTTATCTGGATTTTGATATCCTGTGCATTTATTTGCTATAAATTCTCACTTTATCAGCACATCTCCTTCCATCACCCCCTCCTTCAATAGCCTTGTCTTCTGATAAGAGGAATGAAAAATATCAGCTCTCCTTGTCTCAGAGCTGAATAGGTTTATATATATAAATATATATTTTTGAACTGTGACTGACATTTGACTGTTTTAGGCCGCTGATCGGCAGTTTTGTTTCTCTCTGCTTTTCCGGAACGCTTCCGGCCGGCGGCCATAGATGTCCGTGTTACATCTCTGCTCTGGCCTTTCAAACCCAGTTAGTGAAAATTGTCTGGGGTGCTTGTGATGATAAACATGCTTTAAGAAATATTATATTGAAAGGCTACTTCAGTGTGTTTCTGTGGGGGAACGTTCCGGAGGCAGATGGCAGAAGGACACGCACACATACTCACAGACACTCTCTCTGGTGCCACACAAAGACCCCCCCCCCCAACAGAGTCTCAGTTCAGCCTGTGTTGACTGCCAATGATGAGTTATTGATTGGCTGGGAAATGTCATTGTTGAATAATAGCCTCGAGCCATGAGCACATTCGGGACTTGCGAGGGAGATGGGTCCCCTCGTAGCCACAGGGTGGCGCCGCAGCCCTGCGTTTCTCTGCCCTGTCCGCATGCTGCACGCTTCGCTGAATCCGTATCGAATCGAAGGACAGATGTTTGTTGCAGCATGCTTCCTGTTAGAATTTTCCAGAACCTATATGTGCAGGGAGTATTTTTCTGTTCTCAATTTTACCCCCCCCCCTCCCAAATGATTTTCACTCGATTTGAAAGTGAAGTGTGTAATTAGACACGGAAAATTACAGTGAATTGTGGGCCAAAGAAAAAAATCTCACACATGTTGACGAAAGCCCCTGCCCCGGGCGCGACCGACCCACCACCACGCCGCCGTCTCCTGCGGAAGAAGTTCCGACAGAACATCAGTGAAGCCGGGGCGGGGACTGCCCCCACGTCCTCCCGGCCGAGCGCGAAGGAGGCCGGCGAGCGGAGCCGGCCGGCTGGGTGGGGCAGCTCCCTCCACTGCTCCGGCAGAGGCCCAGGTGCGACAGGAATTAGAAAATAAGAGGCGTGAAAGTAGCAAACTCAGGGGAGCGTGACGGCCACTCGCAGGGGAGGAGGGGACATTTTAATGCCACCTTTATTTATTTATTTCCCCCCCCCACCCAAACCACAAAGAGTCACTCCTTTAAACGAACCCTTGATAAAATATGCAGGTGAATAAA